GTGGGATTCCCAGTGTTCTTAATATCGGTAAGGCAAGGTTCTTTGATGTTACTTTAGGGGTGCCCGAAAGCCTGCTAACTGACCTTTAGGAAAATTGTGTAAAGAAAAAAAACTTCCCTAATACACACAGAAAAACTCCTTTTCAACTTGAAAAACCGTTAAAAAGGACAAAGTGGAGCCTTATGGAAAACACGGGACATTTCGCAGTAAAAACAATTACACAGAGGTGAACCGAAAACCTGCGCCAAAAATAACCCCTGTTGCTAACGCGAAAATCACTCCTACCAGCGCCGCTAAACGATCCGCGTTACACACGCGATCTTCGCTGCAACCACCTAAAACCGTTTACACAAAAAGTCTGCTGGACGTGAAACACGCAACACAGCAGCTTTAAAACAAACCCGCTTTACACTAAGGAACTACTTTTAACAAGAAAAACACAAGAAAAACATAATCACTATACAAGAAATCTATGTGCAAAAACCCAGACTTCACCGCACTCACTAAATGTGGAACGCGTGAGGGAAAAACTCGCTTAACACACTTTAAATTGGCTGTCAATACGCAAATTTAAAGCTAAAAGCAAACAACTTAAACTGTAAAAATTTGGATTAAAAACATAAAATGGGTCAAATGCATATAGAAAACTGCATATACATTGCACAGAGATTACTGCACATGTGGTAGTCAACAAAATGGCCACCAGAGAAAGCACATGGCAGTCAGTAAAATGGCCACCAACAGAGAAAGCACACGGCAGACATTAGCCTCAAAATTGCCTCTAACCTCTTACATAAAACAGACTTTTGGACAAAACGTACACTGGACAATTACACAACAATATACAGTACACATACAACACAATTTGGCAAATCACAGGACAGACATAGAAAAACCAACATATCACACTAACATGCGCATGTAACAGAAAAGACCCACTGCTGCATGCTTGCTGGGAGCAGTAGTACCGACAAAACACTGCACAGACTATATACACACAAAGATCTTACAACAGTTAACTATTAACCTAAACCTTTCAGCACTGTAATAATTACTTCACGTGGAGGGAGTTAAAGCAATTACCACAGTACCTACAACCCTCAAATACTTACCTAACACTATGCAAAAAAAACCTTTTACCCGCTAAAACATATACCCGTTTAATTTTTGGTTGAAAGATTTTTAAACTTGACCAAATCCAGCCAACCAAACCCACCCCTCTGCTGCTCTCAGCAGAGAAAAACCCTTGTCTTTCACCCACAAATCAAGATTTTAGAACAACTAGGTCCTTGCTAAGCGGAATTCACGTTAGCTAACAGAGAGCGAAATCAGCCACACAAACGCGCAAAAAGCGATCCTCTTAACGGTAGAGAGACCTGAAATGTGCCGGCATACTTTTTGCTAGTTCATGATGGCTCATTCCCCCCTCGAACTTGGTTAGCTATCCTAGAATTCGCGTTAGTATCCACTGGCTCGCCAAACTGTCTTGGAAATTCGCTTTTAAACGAATTTCTCCTTACTGTGAGTACTCGCAGTTGGATGCGCAGCAATCTCCCATAAAGCTGTGCGAATCTCGCTTACCATGACTGCAGCTTAGCTCCACGATTCCTGCACCTCCAACTGGTTTAGCTATCTCAGAATTGTGGGGAAATGGAGCTCCAGTTACCTGGGAATGATCACACGACACTCTCAGGTTGCTGTTGGAATTCACATAGAGACTGGCTTCAGACTCAGCCCCCCCGGTTTTATTACAAACACACACACGCCCCCCACATGAGTCAGGTCAATCCCCTCCCACAGAACAATGCATGGGGAGTGCCTATACACAGGATGTACATTCCGATTGGAGCACAGCCTTTCCTCTTAGCTATCACCAGTCCTCCTCTCCCTCCATGAGCTCTCTGAGGGAAGCAACCTTCCCCCTCCTATTAGCTCCTAGTGGTATGTAAATTCTCTGTACAAGCATCCCCTAGATTAAACAGTGTCAGTCTGTATCTGAATGGGCCCAATACGATCTTTATTAAAACACATCCATCCAGATACAGTTTCAGGTCGGTAATGGCTTGTAAGATTTACATGAGCCTACACACGGAGTTAGCACTGCTTGGCGCCTTGCGGTACGAAGTCCATGTGGTACTATGCTGCTGATATGTGGATACAGGCCCGCGGCCTACCGCCGGCGGCATTCGCATCGAATGCCGTGGTGGTATAGACGCCGGTCTATAAGCGCAGATCTGCCATCTCATCCATTACCGAGCTGAGTACTGTAATACATACATTGTACATGCGCATGGCCCAATTGCAGCCTTCAGAGCTTTAATTAAGCCACACGAGAGACATATGAATAACACTAATATATGACACATTTAAAGTTCAACCTGTAAATACAAAATTTCCATGACAGTAGGAATCCATCACTTACCAGGTAGCTATGGGTTTTATTCATGTTAAACATGCACAGCAGTATAACGCAATACAGTAAATAATGTTCAGCTCTCTTCTTCTCTTCATTGTCAATAGATATTATGCTAAAGAATAAAGGGAAGGAATCCAAGTATACTGTAGATTACATATAATATACTGTACATATTTTTGGTTCTGTGCCATAGTGATTTTTTTTAGACTGAAAATGATGGCAAAATCTGCAGCAACCCTTGAAATTAATTGTGTTGGGAGAAAACACCCATGAGCTGTTTGCCTGGATGACTAACACATACTGTATAGTATATCTCATTACACCAATTAAGAGCAGTTTGCCTGGAATACTACATTTGCAGTTGTTTAAAATAAAATACCATGGCTTTTCATCTAAGTGTTAGAAACCCTTAAAAGTCAGGTTTTCTGTGTTTCCTTGCCCTTAAAGCAGACCTTGTAGTGAAATAGCAAGGTCTGTTTAGTGAATTACGCCCCTCTCCTCCATCTTAAAATTTATTTATTTTAGGTACTTATATAGCCTGAAATAAATACGCAGCGCTTTACATATATATTGTACATTCACATTCTAAGGTGCCTAACTCACATTCACACAAGGGCCAATTTAGCCAGGATCCAATTAACCTACCAGCATATCTTTGGAGTGTGGGAGGAAGCCGGAGTACCCGGAGGAAACCCACGCAGGCACAGGGAGAACATGCAAACTCGAGGCAGGTGGTGCCGTGGCTGGGATTCGAACCAACGACCCTAGTACTGCCAGGCAGAAGTGCTAACCATTTAGCCACTGTGCTGCCTGTGAGAAAACAGATAAAAGCATTACTTGTGGGGGGAAAAAAGATGATTCAAATAGTTACCTTTTCTATGCTTCCATCTGCAGCATCTAAAAGGGGGTGTCAGCACCCTTTTTGCGATATGTTAAGAAATGGCGAATAGCCCAGATCTCACAAAAAAAAATACAACTGCATCATGCTATTCAACATTTCCTGGGGTGTGGCCCAAAGATGTTGACATTAGGGGCAAGGTACGTATTTTAACTAACCCCCCCCCCCTCATTTTTTTTCTCAACAGTTGAATATTAAGGAAGGGTCCCTTACTATTTAAGCTGACTTTGCAAGGAATGGTCTGCTTTAAAGTAGAAAGTATATTTAAAGTATGGACTTTTAATATTAACCTATTCCCTCCAAGCTGAGAATAAACTGTAAAGAAAACATTTGTGTTCATTTTGAATAAATGGTTAAATCCTATCAGGGTTTATTTTTGGTATATTTTCCTTTATTTCCTGCCCTGTATGACAGGAAAACTCTCCAAAGTGTTGGAAATCTTCTCTTAGACAGCTGTCACCAGAGAATTTAACTTCTATTACTGTTTTAGTGACAACTAAAACATTTTTGATTTCCCATCACTTTCAGTCCTGAAAACAATAGTTATCAGGGCAAAAAGAGAGGGTGAATCTCCCCAGTGAGGACTGCAGTAAAAAATGTAATGAGGCTGTATGCCATCGTCGCACCATCCAAAGCGAAAAAAAAATGTTGTAAGTCTGTACTGACCTCTGCAATGCAGGTACTGTGTAATAAAAGTTTCTCTTTAGCTTGTTTTCTAAGGACCCAGAGTAGGTGCACAGGCCAGAGGGAGATCCAAATGCTAAAACCTAACTTGCAAAATTTTAAGGTTTAAGCCTGTTAAAGAGCATGCAAATATTTGAATGTTGATAGCCTGGCCACTGATCTACTTTTGGCTTCTTAATTAGGGTATGGCCTAATGGCATCCCCAATGTGACTGTGCACATTCATTAAAAAAATCAGAATAGGAAATGTGTGTGCCAGTCTTTTCTAAAATAAATATATATGACAGAATATATGGTGAACCCATTATGCAACTAACTGTAGAGTTAGTACTGACACTATATGTATTAACTTCTTTTTTCGGTTGAGATTAAGCCATGGGTTGAAATTAAGCCTTAAATCTCCTGGTGCTATAAATCTCTTTCAGCTGTCAAATGTCTGAGACTCTGTTGCTGGTAGAGGGACTTAACAGCTAAATTGTAGGGATAAGGCTCAAAGTGATTCTAAAGGTTGTCATTTAAAAAAAAAAACACATATTATACTTACTTGCCCTGTACAATGGTTTTGCAGAGAGCAGCTCCAATCCTCTTGTTTTTGGGTCTTCTGCTAGTGGTCCTGGCCCCTCCCCCTGCCAAGTGCCCCCAATAGCATGCCTCTTGCTATGGGGGCACTCAAGCTGGCTCACACCCGAGCCACATTCCTGTGAATGGACATTGTCCATTCACACACAGAGCTCAGCTCTGCCCCCCTGCTCTATCCTCATTGGCTCACTGGATGTGATTGACAGCAGCAGGAGCCATAGGCTTCCTCTGCTGTGTGAGCCAATGAGGAGAGAGACCCAGGAGAGCCACTGCTCTTGTGCACAAGAAGGGAAGGCTGGTGGGGAGATGCTTTAGAACTACTTTAACCAAGGTGATAAAAATGAATTAAATTGGAGGGGATATATAGCATCAAAACATGTATTTCTTGAATGAATAATATTTAACAAATTGTTTTACATTTTATAGCATATTCCAATGCCTGTACTATATGGAATTTTTCTTCAAATGGGTGTGGCAGCTTTAGGAAGCATTCAGGTATGTTTTTTAAGCTATAGTATATTTTTAAGGTTAAATGTCTATTGCTTATTACTACTCATACTCATGAGTACTACTCATTTGCCGTTAATCAGCGCATGGCTTATGTATGCTTATGTTTTGTTTCTGATTATATTTTACACTATTTTGTATCAGAAGGCTGAAGCAACTGCAAATCTCTAATTATTTTTGTAGTAATTGTTGGTTTGCAAAATATGTTTCATACAGGTCATGATTATCAACAGCTTTTCATATCTTTCATATATTAGCCTCAAATGCTGCAAAAATAATTTACTCAGCAACAGAGCCACACATCACTGAAATCATTGGGACATAGTCCTTTCTTTGACTGGAAGATTTGTTTTTGCAAACATTTAGGAAATATAAGCCTTGCTTTTGAATGTTAGCTGTTTTTTGTTTGGCATAGTTTAGGGAACAGTTAGAATCTCTGTCATGTTTTTATTGCTGTGCTTCCTTTGAGGATATTTTCTCTCTCTCGCTACCTTTCTGATGTTCCTTTAGCTACAGAAACAGGAAATAAGGGTCATTGAACATAGGTAGCAATAAAAAACATGACACTGGCTATAAAAAAGTTAATTTAATTGCTTTTTGCTTCCTTGTTGGGTACATTTCCACTCAGAAGTGGCATTAATTAAATAATACCTTCTAAATGTGAACACAGTTATTAGTAAAAACCCCAGTAAACTTGCTTGTTGACTGCTTGGCCAAAAATCTCCAATCTGCTCAGGAGACAGCACTCAGAATAGATGGACTGAAAGCTGCTGAAGCACTTATTCCTGCTGTAGAGGAATCAAGCTAGGACTATAAACAGGCAGTCTTTGATACAGTAAAAAAAAGTTACCGACCTTGGCAGACATTATAGTGGAAGCTCATCCTAGAATTATTCCATGAACATTAAACAGACACATAACACTTGGTATCCACATCATGTGATTGATCAGCCTTGATGGGAAACATTTCCTCTGTGCCCTTATGCCATCAAAGTCATAGATAGCTTAAGGGCGACTGAGCGATAGCATCAGTTGCATAGTGTCATCCAGAAATGGCTGGCAATTATAAGTGCTGAATACTCGACAATCGCAGAGCAGACACATACACATGCTACACATTTATCAAGGTACAGGTGTTATATGGCTGTTAATGTTCATAGAACAATTCTAGGGTAAACTTCAACTTTAACTATACTGGTGCTGGTCTAAAAAATACCTTATCAATAGTCATTACTGTGTGTAACAAATAAATATATTGAGATCTGGTGCCTAAATGCCATGGCTCCATCCATTATACGTATGTACATAAACCAAATCAAAGGCGCATGGGACTTTAAATGAGGCATGTCATTGAGCAGGTTACATATAAAAAAGATCAATTTATTGAGCATTACATGAACATCTCATAGATTCAAACAACAAGCTGGTTATATCTGACATATAGTAGTGTGAATGAATCCATACATACATTGCTACATAGTCAAATTACCAAAAATGAAGGAATCATAAAAACTTGATGCGTTTAGTAAATCTTCACTTATTCAGCAGTAGATGCCACGTGTATAAAAATCTGTAAGCTAGAAAACAAGGTTTCAGAGTATATTTAAGCACTCCCTAATAAAGGAAGGAATGTATAATATTGGTTATTGTAACAATATAATATTGTTCAGTTGATGAAAGAAAATACTTACAAACCAGCTTGATAACCAGATCATTGTTGTGGAACCTCCTAATGTCTGGCCTGGGAGTTGTGGAAGGGGTACAGTACAAACCCCCCGGGATAACAAAAGAGCGGCACAGGTATGAAGATGGAATATAAAAACCCAAAGTCCCACCTGTGAAATAAGAGTCAGATAAAGGAGGATTTTAATCTCTATCTACAAAAGCCTCCCACCATGTACTACTCAAAGGAAAAATATTAGAGTGTCTGATGGGTGAAAGTAACAAAGTAAGCAAATGAGGTAGCTCCATGGTGTGGGAATATTTATGTTAATAATAGTGATTTGCCAAAGATCACCAGAATAGTGAGACTGCAAAGAAAAAGCAGAATCCTGAAAAAGGGAAGGAAAACATAATAGAAGCCAAATGAAAAAAGGAGTGAAGATTCACAAAACACATCAAGTTTTTATGATGCCTTCCTTTTTAGTAATTCGGCTATTAAATATACAGTAGTTACATAGCTGATAAGGTTGAACAAAGACACCAGTCCATTCATGTTCAATGAGAAAGAGAGAGAAAGAGAGTGTGTGTGTGTGTGTGTGTGTGTGTATGTGTGTGCGTATTTTATGTCGCTACATTGAGAACCACAAAAACCACATCTAAAAGTTTTGGGGGGTTTTTTTTAATTTGTTTATACTCTTTGCTGACACTGGTGACTGAAAGGACGTTCCACATACTGTACTTACTGGTTCAGTAAAGAACCCCTCACACAGTTTAAAATTAACTGCTTCTCGGCCAACTTCATTGTGTGGCTGCAAGTCTTCTTTATAGACCTTAGATTAAATAGTTTCATCCCAGTGCTAGAATCCTCATTCAAAGATTTTTATATTGTGATCATATACCCTACATCCTAATATACCCTACCCTCACTTAATAATCACAAACTGGCAAATTAAATAACAGATTGTTATCATATCAAGTGCTGCTATCCAGAAAATGCAGAGGTGACCACACATGTGTAGCTGTACAAATGAGACTGGACCCAAGCTAAGAGCAATTATAATAAAATGTATTATTTAACACAGCAAAATCCAACTCTGCAAACAGTGCACAAACAATAGTGAAACACATGTGAAAAGTGAAACTTAAAAAAAACTACTTAACTATCAAACTAACTTTAATACACTATATACAAGCAAGAGGAGAAATTGGGTCTGGCAGGAGGTGCAAGGAACAGGGGGCTAGACAGGTCAGGAAGGGGGCCAGAGCTGGGATCAGTTACAAGGGGAACAGGTCAGCAAGGATCATAGTAACAGGTATAAGGCAGCAAGGATCAGGTTAACTAGTACAAAACTATTGCCTGCACAGGGCAAAATGCTGAGGCCCTTTGGAAAGCTGGGGAATGGGCTATATACCCTCCCAGCAGCTTGCATCAGTTGGAGACTAATTGTTAGGATATGCTGGCTACGGTGAAACATTCACTGGTGGACATGGGGACTACATCCTTTAGATCTAGGTACCAAAGTGCCACCTGTCTTGGAAATTCGCTTTAACGAATTTCTCCTTACCGTGAGTACTAGCAGTTGGATGCGCAGAAATCCCCCATAAAGCTGTGCGAATCTCGCTTACCACGACTGCAGCTTAGCCCCAAGATTCCTGCGCCCCCAACTGGGTTAGCTTCTGTTGAGATGTGGGGAATGGAGCTCCGTTACCCAGGAATGATCACACGACACTCTCAGGTTGCTGTTGGAATTCACATAGAGGAAATTTTCATTCTCACCCTCTGGTTTTATTACAAACACACATGCCCCCCACATGAATAAGGTCAATCCCCTCCCACAGAACAATGCAATGGGGAGTGCCTATACACAGGATGTACATTCCGATTGGAGCATAGCCTTTCCTTTTATCCATCACTGGTCCACCCCCCATGAGCCCTCTGAGGTCAGCAGACTTCCTCCCCTTCCACCCATGAGCCCTCTGAGGTCAGCAGACTTCCTCCCCTTCCACCCATGAGCCTTCTATGGAGAGCATATTTCCTGTCCCAACTCCTAGCAGTATGTTTATTCTCTGTACAAGCATCCCCCAGGCTAAACACCAGTATGTACCTGGATGGGCCCGATACGATCTTTATTAAAACACATCCATCCAGATACAGTTTCAGGTCGGTAATGGGTTGTAAGATATACATGAGCCTACATGCGGAGTTCACACCGCTTGGCACCTTGCGTTATGAAGTCCATGTGGTACTATGCTGCTGATATGTGGATACAGGCCCACGGCCTACCGCCGGCGGCATTCGCATCGAATGCCGTGGTGGTATACACACCGGTCTATAAGCGCAGATCTGCCATCTCATCCATTACCGAGCTGAGTACTGTAATACATACATTGTACATGCGCATGGCCCAATTGCAGCCTTCAGAGCTTTAATTAAGCCACACGAGAGACATATGAATAACATTCATATATGACACATTTAAAGTTCAACCAACAATACAAAATTTCCATGACACACCTGATGGTGATCCAGTTCCTGACACAGATGCTATACATCATGGTGCAGGGCATACCAGGGTCAATTTCGCCTGAACAGTTGAAACCAGCAACCAAGTCAAACTTTAATAACCTTGTGGAAAGACTTCCAGAATTCCTATTTGAATTTGATAATTTTCACCATAGGGCACAGATGATGCCCCTCCATGCAATATAATTTACTGCCTTTAACATTTCCCCCTGAAAGAGGAAGTTTCAAACAAACCCAGACAAAATAAACACATTCATTTCAATTTTAAGCAACAATAATGTGATAAAAAATGTAATAACCTTGTGAGCTACTATGACCAAACAAATACTTAGTGTGAATTGCCCACACCTTACACACTCTCATATACCTGTGCTATAATAAATTATAACTAACTTGTGCCATGCTTCACAATATGCTGCCCTATGTAGTGTTATATAATAAAGAATATTGTAAGCAAAAAAAATCCCGATGTCACATTAATGTGCATTAAAATCACAGTCCACGGTGCAATTATTGTTATAGCTTTCTGTCCAATCACTCCTTATGTTATTCCGCCACTTTGTGCCAATGATACTTAAAGTGACATGAACAACCTCCACAAGATGTGCTGTCACCTGGGATATATGACCATACAGTTAAGTATGGTCACTAAGCACTTGCGTCCCCCATTGTGGACCTAGTGGTACATTCCCTGACAGATGAACTTCACAGGTGCTCCTTAATAACAACGGAGGAATTTATATCTATGTATGTTCCTTTACAGTATTAACTCCACTTAATAACTCCACTCAGCTGCACATAGA